AATTCCGCGCATTTGGAACTAAACGCAAGATTTGTGCTAACTTAAGTCTAATTCGTTACGAGTTCCATTGTTTGTGGTTTCAAAATGAGTGCTGCATAAATATAAACAATGATAAACATTTCCTTTTTGTAAAGAAAATTAAATTGGAAAAGGCGCATCTTTAGAGACGCCATTTTGCTTCTGAGGCCTAGTGCTTTGCTCATGCTAAAACCATAGAGGTAACTCTAAGACAAGTAGGTCCCGAAGAAACGTGCTCAACTTTTTGGCTCACCTCTGGTACTATCTTCGGTCCCAAGCTTGTCGAATCACCCCTCGAAACATAGGAAAAACCAATAACCCCTCATTTTATCTGTCAAACTTTCATAGCGAATCAAAACAAACATTGCGTAGTACTAGAATTTCGACTAGAATAGGGTACGTTAATCGTTTGCTTGGGACCAATAGGCTACTAAAGTGGTGAGCCAATTTAAAATCGTTAGTTTCGTATTGATTGTTGCTAAAACTGCGCTTTTCGTTTCAAAAGTGTGATTTTTTTTAAAATATGGTACGCATCCGCAGGTGTGTTTTTTTTTATTTTATTTGAAACTCGTGAATTACAATAGGAAATCTAATGCGCAGGATAAGGACACTGCTTTTTTTAAACTTGAGCCTAATTCCGTGGGTTGCATTTCAGAATGCCGTCGCGGAGACATCATTCCATACTTGCTTGAATAATTGTTAGAAGCGCTTTCATCGATATAAAAGCGTTAGGGGCCTTTTTTATAAATCTGCAGCCTCGCTCCTTGCATCCAGTTTCCAATCATGTCGATCGCCTCGGCCGCCATCATTTCCATCTCTTCCAGCGTCTTGCTCGTTACCTTATTTTATGTAGCGCTTCGGCGATGACCTCCCAGCTGGCGCTGTTGAACGCATTCTTGACGGCGACCGTTATCACGGCGTAATATCGATCTCCTTTCCGCTTCTGTTTCGACGCCTTCTCGGCTCTCTCGAGCACTGTACGAATTGCATCCACCGTTGCTCTTCCTTTTCGGAATCCAAACTACCTCTCCGACATTCTGTGCTCTCTCTCCGTTTCGTCAGCCTGTTATAGACGAGTGCACGGATGGATTTGAGCTCACTCACTCGACAAAAAGTGACACAACAGCGGGGCCCTGTTTACCAGAAATGAACATATATCTGTTCATTTTTAGTAAACAGGACCCCGCTGTTGTGTCACTTTTTGTCGAGTGAGTGAACTCAAATCCATCCGTGCACTCGTCTATAGGGTGTTTACACTTAAGGCCCACCCACATTAGATCCGTTTGCGTTGCGTTGACGTAAATTTGACAGTTAGACAATAGATTTAGCTGTCACTTTGCCGCAACGCGTCAGATCCGGATCTAATGTGCGTGGGCCTTTATGCTATTTCACTAGCGCTAATGAGCTAGCTGCTAGCAAAAAACTACAAGGGACAGCCCTATGGGGTTGTACGCAATGGTGACGTAGGACTACGTGGTCTTATATAATAATCTTAATTGTGCAGCAGGAGCTTGTGTTTTGTGTAGGAATAGGAATTTGAGCAGGGTTCTCTATATTTATACTCTTTAGTATGACGAGATTGACATAGATGACCCACAGCAACTCACGAAGAGCTACTGATTCCGATCAATAGCGGTGCACCTTCTGCCTCCTTCTATGGATGCTAATGTGGGCTGCATCTCGCTGCTTGCAGGTAGCCTTTCGTTGTGTACTGGAGAACACCACCACTTTCGCGGTGATTGAATAAACACCGTTTGGTGAGGCGGGTTGGAATTCAACTTTGAAATCTGTGTTAGAGAAATCGATTTTCGCAGGCAATCGGTGATAATTTTAATTATCATAGCAACAATTGTACATTCGTGCAATTTTCCATAGTAACATTTTGAAAAATGATTAAGTCTCAAATTTAACAGTTTCGTTGAAAAAATTCCCGCGAACCAACATTACCGTCGGGTAGAGGAAGCCTTACCCTACCTGATGGTGATGTTGATTTGCGTGGGCGAGCCTTGACTTTCAAAACATCATCGAAAAAAGTCATTGTTTACAAAAGCTGTTACGCCCTATTTCCAGCTCTGTCTTGATATGGGAAGTGACATCCGATTGATGACCTTGAAAAATGTCCAAAAAATACTCTTTTACAAATTTATAGTGGTCCTGAAAAGGACCATTTTGTCGTGATGGTTGAGTAATGCTAAACAATTAGGGTGTTAAACACAGATGAGGCTGGTGAGCTGTATGTTGCTTGGAATGAGGGTGACGCGCTCATGTGGGCTGCAGCTCACTGCTTGCCTTTCGTTGTGTACTGGAGAACAATGTTCAAAGCCACGTGCCGAAAGCACTGCTGCTGTTGATGCCGACGACCGGAAACCACCACACACGGTGATTGCAACTGAGGCCAGCCTTGGTAGCTAGCTGCTTGCGGGGAGCCTTTCGTTGTGTACTGGAGAACACCACCACTCACCATGCGGTGATTGAATAAACACCGTTTGGTGAGTCCGGATGGAATTCAACTTTGAAATCTGTGTTAGGGAAATCGTTTTTCGCAGGCAATCGGTGATAATTTAAACTATCAATAGTGATCAAATGATAGTCTTAAATTTAACAGATGTGTAGAAATATGTTTGATCGATTGGTGATAATATTATTGAAATTGGTTCAGGGGCAGCTGAGTTATTAACGTTCAAAATCTTTCATAATTGTGTTACATGTTCCATTTTCGGTTTTCACAAAGTTTACTCCCATATAGAAATCACAGACGTAGTCCTTCGTCAAAAGGTCACTAGCATAATGTAAACAGGGCATCAGCGTCTACCAGCATGAGATTTCAGGAGCGACTGAAATTCGTGGTAGTTGGCGAGTACACGAGCGCTAGCAAATCCACACAGATGTAAACACCCCATTAAGGATGACCCTCTCCAAGAGTTTTCCGAATGTATCCAGGAGGTACTCATTGGTGACTTCGTCGTTATATCTCTCTTCGTTTAGGTACGGTGACCTGGCCTCCGGTCGTTGAATCGTGCTTCGGGAAAAGTCCTTCCACGATGACTTTCAGGTTCTCTGGGCACATTACAGCGGGCATCGTTTGACCTCTGATCTTCACCATCACGACACGGTGTGCGTCATCCCAGAGGCTGGCAGCAGCGTCTCGACGCAGCTCCTTGAAACCGTTTGACTTGCTCTGCTACGTTTCACTCTGTCTGCTTCTGTTCTTGGTCTCTGAACACGTCTTCTGGCCCTGAGATTACTAGCGCGGAGGGTTCCAGTTTTCTCGGCATGCTCGTGTCACATGCTCTCACTAACGTTTCTGTCAACTCGTCCTTACTGCCACAGGATTCCGTTGGCCGTTGCCATATCGGATTGCCTGATGCTCGCTATGGGTACTTCGCACACGCGCCAATTCATGTTTGCCACCAACGACGGACTGCAGAAAGTGACGTCGATAATGGATTCCCAGCCATCTCTGCGAAAAGTGTTGGTGGTGCCTTTATTGGACATCCTATTTTCTCTCTTGCGTTGGTACATCTGCTTCTCCACTCCACTGCCCAAGCATTGAAGTCTGCTCCGATGACTAACGGTTTTCGTCCGAGCAGCTCTTCGGTAAGTCCATCCAGCATCTATTTTAACTGCTCCATATTCTATCTCGGGGATACGGAACAACTGCATATGAAGATTCCGTTGATTTTGGCGATCATGAAACCTTTGTATGAGCTCGCAACCACTTCTTGAATGGGGTATCTGCCCATAACTTGTATTGCAGCTATCCCAGCTCTATGCACCACCTAGTTACTGTTACTGTTGCTTGAGAATTATTGCTTAAAATCCATAAAGCTCAGCAAAATCTACAGGCTGACAAAATCGGGTTTACGCAAAATCTGGAAAGCACTGTATAGTGTCTTTGGGAAATAGATAGACCAATGCAGTGTTGTAAAAAGTTGTAGAACAATCAATTTGCAGCAACTGTGATGAAGATATCAAATTTCTATCTCTTATTGTTCATTAGTAATGATTATTTTAAATAAGCAGGTTAGAGTAGCCCCTAGAAAATCGGCTTTCTTTAAATATATTTTTACGTACTAAAAACTTTGTTCTACATATTTTTAAAACTTTTTATGACGCATATTTTTGCAAGACACTATACACCTAAAAGTGATGGTTTGGGCACAGACAAACAGACATAACTCTCGCATGTTGTTCATCAACCAAGCATTTAACGGTCAATTTAAAAGTATCGTAGTTGGTAGTACTGCCACCTGTGAAGCGCATAGTCAATTCCCTTGCGTTTGACGTTTGCAAACTACCGCCATCTGTTCAGCGTACTACCATAGTGTACTCAACAGATGGCGGTAATGTTTTAGCGACGATGATTTATTCAATATTCAATATTCAACCACAGACAAACAAACATAACGGTTTGGGCACAAATGTGTTTGTCTTCCTGAATAGTTCATTCTACGCGCACGAGTATTGATAGTCCGAAAGTGAGGATAACAATAACAAACCATTCAAGGCTTCTTACTCTTTTATCTCTATCACTATCTCTATTTCTATCTTACGCACTTCAAATCGGCCAATCACGAGCTGGTTCGCGTTTGACAGAAAAGTGGTTCGCCCCCGTATTGTCTTCTCTTCTCTTAGGTCAATATCAGAGCTTCATGTGCGAGTAAGCTGACAGAATAGAATTAAACAGATGAATAATTTGACAACGCAATCAGTTGGAAAGGCAAAATCTATGAAATCACGAAGAATATTACCGAATACCATACTACAAAATCCAATGACTTTAGTTTTGCGTTCGGAAACTTTCCCTAGTTGTTCTGTGTATATTTTCTGCATAAAAAATTCGTTAGCTTTGCTCAGATTTCTTTTCAAAACATGCGCCAACAACGATCTAGATGTCACACAAAATTCACATTGCACACAATCTTTGGAGAAATTCGGCTCACATACTAACATATTCCGTCTATTTCCCACCCAACAAACAGAGCATCCGGGCACCACACCCTAGGTCGGTTACCTTCGCAGCAGGCCCACATGGCCGGGCCGAACAACGGCAAGTACGCAACGCTTAGTAAACAGTGTAAAACGCTCGAATCGAGCGACTTCTACTGAGAATCGCCTGCCTGCAATGTGTCAAGTGCAGGCAGCAATAAACTAGGTGAGTTCGGAACTCCCGCAACTTCCCATCACAACGCACCTCCCGCTAGAGTAGCTAACGATTCGCCTGTCGATACGTTTGCAGATAAGAACCTGACAGCTTCAACCGCAACCCTCTCGGAGAAAGATCCACGTGACATTAGCAACAATGGCTTCAACCGGTTCGACCCGAAGTACGTGAGTATCGGTCCGAAGGCGATCCGAGCTACCGGGAACCAGGCGACGGCCAATGTGAACAAGTGTGCCACTCTGCGGGCCCATGGCCGCTATGCCAGTGGAGGACGAGGCACCAGTCCAAGTCCCCATCTGAAGAGCGTCCAGCAGCCGATGGTCGCTCAGTCGCAGTTCAAGCCACCGCAGACGCAACATACTCAATTGCTAGACAAGTCGGATCGCCAGTTGAATCAAACCAAGTTGAACATCTCCACCGTCTCGAAAGACTACAATCAATCGTACTCGTGCGCAACGCTACCGTATAAGAAGCCCAGTGGATTCACCGATACGACCACTACGTCAATATTGAAAAAGGAAAGTAACCTCGATAGTAAACATCAACATCCAACCGTCTACAGCATCGATACGTCTCATCATCAGTCGGCAGCGCAGCCATCAACCCAACATCATCGGTCTCTGTCGAGCACAAATCAGCTGTACCACGAAACGGGAGCAGGATCGGCCTTCGCTAGCCCACCGCCTTCGTCCGCGTCAACGGCTACCACCAAGAGTAACATCTCGATCATCAACCAACCACTGCCAGAGATTCCGACCGCGGCTCAGAGCAGCGGCCTGAAGAACAATCAACAGCCACTGTGTGCCGCCACACTCAATCAGTACCGATCGCTGCAGCGACCGAGCAAGCAGCAGAGTTCGCTCAGCCTGAAGGAACCGTCTCCTCAACCGCAGCATAACCAACTGCTGCTGCAACAGCAGCATCTACTACAGCAACAACAACAACTGCAGCAACAGCACCATCCACCACCGGTGCAACCGAAGCCATCGATACCGCCCAAGGTAAGTTGTCGTACTTTCAATAAGTTCCCATTTGTGATCCACACTTGTTCCAGGTAACTCCCCCGATGCTTCCGCCGAAGAACCGCCACAAAGACGACTCCCTGTACCAATCCCGGACCTCGTCGGTCTCCTCCAGCACCAGCAGACCTCAGCAACCATTACCTCAACCTCCCTCGCACCAGTCGTCTTCGTCTTCGCTGCAGTCCTATGGTCACGTAACTGCCAGCGGCAAGACCAACTTCAACGCCATACAGCTACAGCTGCAGAATCAGCTGCAATTCAAGCAGTACCATCAACTGATCCAGCAACCTTGGCAAAGGGAACAGCTATCCATGCCGCAGCATTCGTCTTCGATCGGTTATCAAACTCATGACTCCCGGTACGATCAAAAGTCAAGCCGGAACCGGTCCTACTCCGGAAGCAGCGAGCGGGAACAACATCAACAGCAACAACAGCTGCAATACCAAAAATCCAGCGGCAGCGATAAGCAGAAGCAGAGTTACCAGACGCTACCGAAGAATCATCACCATCTAGGCTCGTCAACTACGACCTCATTCAGCACGCAAACTCAGCCGCAACTGCAACAGCAGGCTGTGCCACATCATCACCATCATCCCTTGCCGCAGCAACAGCTGCAACAGTTGCAGCAACAGCAACAACAACAACAACAGCAACAACAACAACAACAACAGCAGCAGCAACAGTCACAGCAGGCTGTGACTCAGCAACCGCAGCAACCGAAGAGTATTCTAAGCAAATCGCGATCGAACGAAGCTCGTGAGCGTGAACGAGAACATCGGGAGCGTGAGCGCGAGCGGGAACGTGATCGCGATCGCGATCGGGATCGGGACCGCGATAGAGATCGAGACCGAGACAGAGAGAGAGGGAGTTCTCATCGTGGTCACAGTCATGAGTATCATCACGATTCGCGCTCGGAAAGCAGCAAGAATCCGAACGTCTACTACCGATCGTTGCAGCGCGGAGGACTACAGGCCAACAACGATCTCTACTCGGTGACGGAATTGTGAGAAAGGTTTGATTTTTAAGTTTGTTTCTAGATGTGTTTGGTTCGAGAGACAGCTCTTTCTCTCTCTCTCTCCCATCGTTTACAAAGTTTGTTCGAACTGCCCTCCATTTCGATTCTTATGAAACAGAACGAGATTTAATTCGTCAAACAGCAAATACTGGTGCTGCCCGCGCTGAGGAGAGCCATTTTTAATAATGGGGAAATAACTTCACCATTTGAGTTCCGCGACAAGAACTTTGACTTTGTGATAATTTCCGATGGGTTTTTAATCGAAGTTCCCCATCTCCTCCTGAGTAGACGAGGAAATAGAGGCACAACAAGGGCCGTAACGAAAACAATACGTAACCAAACGAACACTAACACAAACACTACTGCAAAACAAAACAAACCGAATCTCACACTCCCACACACAAAGACACAGAGAGACATAAGCAGAAGCGCACTCAAACAAACAGGAAAAGAAAATTCAAGCAGATTTGTACATAGTTGTAGACTGACGATGTTTTTACGTAAATTATTGAAAAAAAAGAAACACTGTAGCGGGTTACAACTGAATTTTCACAAAAAAAAAAAACAAAAGCACAGGTGACTTTCCGAATAGACGAAAAAAAAAATAATCGAGCGAAAGCTCAGAGACGAAGCGATTGTTGTTAATGTTACTGGAATGATATTCTTCATTATTAGAAGCAACAAACTACCATACGAGAAAAAAAAACAAAAACAGAAAAAATAGGTTAAATTGAACTTGCAATTCTCACTCTTCATTGCAGGGGAAAAAACTAGAAAAACCAAAAAAAAAAAAGAATAGGAATAGGTTAGAAATTTCAGATCATCAATCATCATGAAAACACAGGAAAACAGTACCGAAAAATCATTCTGCCATGTTGCCACATTTCGATTCGATGACATTCATCTTCTAGTAGAAGGAAGTTTGCACGGAGACACGCAAATGAAACACAGATACACATTCACACATTTACACATTTCGATTTAAGTGGAAGCCAAATTAATCGTAAACACCATTTCCTAGGAAACAAGCAAATGCGGGATTTTAGTGCTAAAAGACTACGGTTACACGTTTCGGACATGTAGGGGAAACTAATTGCTCTCTTTCTTGTTTTGGAACTGATTTTGAATAGAAATGTTTTTTTTTTGTGGGTAAAATCAATTTCGTTTGAAAACGGGAATGAAGACGAATCTCTGTTCTAATTAGACATCGATAGTTGCCTGTTGAGTTGCTCTTTTTTGCTATTTGTTTCCTGACTGTTTTGGGTTATGAAAAAATAACGCTGAAAAGTGATGAGTAAAGAACGAAATAACGGATCAAACTTGTGGAATAGGTCCAATATAAGGACTTCAACATTGATAAGGACAAAGGAAAATTTTAAGGTATGGGATGGACTATTTCTACTGCCGAAGCCTAAATTTAAAGAGCTGGGACAAAAAAAATATCGAATTTTCTAACATAGATACACCATTTCTCTGTGCATATTTCAAAAGATCCTATTTGCTTTAATCGATTCTCTTTATTGACAGAAATTCTCTGCAGAACACTCCAAAAACAAAAATCATCCTTAGATTCTCTTCGAATTTTAAAGTTTTTCTTCGTCTAATAAGTCACAGCATTTAATTCGCATGAATTCTCCTTAGAGAATTTCCTTCGCTAGATTCGCCCATGCAATTCACCTCAGAATGATTTCAAAATGTAGACCGGAATAATCGTGGAATTCTCCTCCGGAGCGGCTCGAAATTTGATTTGACGCACTTACATTTCTAGACCAACAATTGAAATAGGCAGAACAACCAAGCGTAAACAATGGCCACGCAAACTAACAATGTCATTCGATAAAGGAAGTTTGCTCTATCAGATAATGATGTTAGATTGCTTGGATGTGCTTTCATTCTCGAGGAATTTGCGTTCAAAGCCATTGTTTACGTTTGGTTGTTCCGCCTATTTCAATTGTAAGTCTAGATTTGAAATTTTCGAGTATATCTCACGGCAACACTATCTACTCATATGTACTAGCTTAAAGTAGTTGATGCCATTGGGGTACCGCCTGTTATCTCTTTTTCTCTAACGAAAATTGAAAGGGAGAGTCTGTTGTCAAACAGCATGTTATTATGTCGTTTTCGTTGTTATCTGCACTTCATATGTACAATGAAATACCATAGGCCAAAATGATTAGGGGTGAACACATCGGGGTAACATTTGCTAACAAGTAAACACTGTTGAGCTGTCAATGACTCGCGCTTGTTGGCGGCAACTGTTGCTACAGATTTCATCAGTCCGTGTTTCTAACCAAAGCCACAGTCATCCACGACCGAGACGACATCGTTTTTGGACGCCAAACTGCAACTGAGAAAATGACAGTCGAAATTACGAGGTGCAATTGGCGAATCAAAGCAAAGCCAAAACTGGTTATGTCACACCTAGTTTTTAGATCCGATTTTTAAAAAAATGATGATCAGGGTGTCGACTCAACGAAGAAAACAAAATTCCCTGATATTCCCTGGTTTTCCAGTAATTTTCAAAAAAAAAACCAGGTGCAGTACTTACTTGGTTTTGGCAACACAACCCCAGCTATAACTTTCCTCAGATTATATTAGTGCTTCATGTACATTTTTTTTAAAATACCACACGGGCCTCTAACCCATGAAGAGCGGTCCAGTATATCTTTAAATTAAATAAAGCGTTCCATACATTTTATAGATTGTAAAAAAAGACAGAAATCTCATGTTGCCAAAAACGGAAAGGACCCGCATTCTACCCAAGGGGTATAAATTCATCCAAATCTCCAAATCATCTCCATGGTGACCAGCAAATCTCGATTAGCAATTTTCCCGTTTTCTGCCGGAATTTTGGAAATTATCGCGGTTTAGGTATTTTAATTAAGCACAAAACTGAAAGCGATAAGCCGAAGGCTAAATGGTTAATTTCTAAGACAACAGCACCTTTGTTGGATCTTGAATTTGGATCTGAGACAGGTTCAAAGTCTTCACAATTTGTGTACGAAAATTTCGTTCGAAACTTAACAGGCTTTTATTTGATTGTTCTCAAGTCTTTCCTTTAGATTAATTTCCTTTCACAGAGATCTCTCCAGAATTCTATATTTGGAATTCTCTCTGGAAATCCATTGAAATTTATTATACAATAGTACAGAAATTCTCTGTAGAAAACTCCGAAAAATTCATCCTTTCTTCGAATTTAAAACTCTTTCTAAGAATTCACTGGAGCTACAACTTTTTAAATTTGCATGAAATTCTCCGTAGAATTTACCTCCTATTAGCCTATTAGCTTTTGTGAGCAAAACTTTTAATCCACCTTCCCTGCCTTCCCGCCGACAATCGTCTTCAAATTTTGCTCAGAATTATCTTGGAAACTCTTCTGAACATTGCATGAAATTCTGATTAACATTCTCTAGAAATTCCTTTCGAAATGCGCTTGAAATAAACTCTGACTATCCTTATAGTCTTCACATAATTATTTTGGAATCGTACCCTCAAAATTCGCGCTCCTTGGTATTTTTCAATATTCCTGGAATCCTCTTCACTCTTGGGGATCTAGTAAAAACTCTCCTAGAGGTTTTCCTAAAGCTACCCAGAAAATATTCTCAGAAATACCTTGGTGTTATCACTAGAATTCATTCCAAAATCAGCTCAAATTTGCTTTGGAAAAAAATCTTAAATTCACTTAATTGTTCTTCAAAGTGACTGTAGTTATTCTGAACATTTAGACCAGTTCAAGGGTCTTGAAACCTTATTGTTTTCGAAGAGAGGACGAGGTATATTTTTCCAGATTTGTCAACTAAAATCATAGGATTTTCCTGGTGACTTCAAATTCCAGCTTTTTCCGGTTTTCCCGATTCATTGGTCACTCTGCATTTCACATATGAAACACTTGTTTTTAATCCCATTATATTTGTTTTGCCTTGAGCACATTTTGAGCCCCAGCTCCGTAAGAAAATTATTCCGGATAATATTCTCAACCAAAAGCTAATTCGCGGGCTGTTAAGAACACAACAAAGAACAAGAACTAGAAGTTTTCAGAAAAAAAATCATTATTTTCTCTTAAAGCTGGGTTTAGACAAGGCAAGTCAATTGATCAACTCAGCCCAGCTTAACTCTTAATCATTCTTGCATTTACTCAAAAGCGCTCCAATGCGCTCAAGGGATTGATTTGTCAAGGTTAAATTTTGTCAGACGCAATTAGGTATAACATCTTTTAAGAGACGAGGGGGCGACCCCGGCGTAGTGGTTAGCATCCATACCTCTCACACCAAAGTCACGAGTTCAAATCTCACCCCCGGACAAGTCACGAATGACCCAAGAGCGTTAAAGTGACCATTCAAAAAAAAAAATAAGAGACGCACATTCCCATAAGCAGCTTAATTTTGCAACAACGAACAACGCCTAGCGTCTCTACGGAACTGAATTTTTATCTCGTTTCAACTCAGGAATGTGACAACACCCAGTGGGAGCTGAATTTATAATAGGCTCAAAATCATCGAAATACCCTTTTATTTCAGTATCTTTTGCTCCACTTGCAAAACAGCAACATCAAGAGTTGAACAACCACACTTTCGCAACTCTATTTTAAATTTGAAATTGAAAACCATTCTCAAACTACAACGAGTAATTAAGTTGTGTGAAACTAGCGATGTCAACCATACTTATTAATATGTTTCTGTCATAAAGAAGTATTTCCCTGACTTTGAATGAAATTTCCTGACAATCCCTGATTTTCCAGGTCCGAAAAGGAATTCCCTGATTTTCCAGGTTTTACCAGGTAGTCGACACCCTGATGATGTATTAAAAAAATAATCATGCAATTTGACAGATATCAAAACGTGATTACCATTTTCACCCGATCGTCACTTTGATTCTTCAATATTTTATCATAAATTGCTTTTTTTTCAAAATGCGGTTGCACAATGACATACTCACATGTTTGACTACTTTATGACATATTATGGAACGTTTTTCAAACACTTGGTCGATTATTTTTGCAAACCAAGGCCAGGATCTGGTGCTCATCTTGTCCGTCTGGCACGGGCAACCAATCCAGGGCTACGATCGGACCTCTGCAGTAGAATACACTTCCACTCCAAATGCTGGAATTTTTCGGTGCGTTGTTCAGGTTCGTACATCGTAGAATGCATCGAAGACAACAGATCAAGAAGACTGGCAACTCTTCCATTTCCTCACACGAACGCTATGAGACAGATACAATCGCGTCATCTGCCTCTCAAAGGTAAATGCTTCGAACGAATTTGTTAGCAAAGATTACATCCTCTGCAGAAAGGTTTGTGTATTTGCTCATTTTTCTATGCGTTGATTCCACCTTCACTCAAGCGCAGCGCTATTGTATCTGTCGCTTGGATTCCGGCAAAGTTGCCAGTCTTCTTGATATGATGTCTTCGAATGAATTTTAATGATCTAACTCGCTTCGGAATGTGCTCATGGACCATCCCACATAAACGCGAACCATAATTTGAACTTACCGAAAATGGTTAAAATTGTTTATAATCCCTGTTAAACTTTAACTGAAATGGTCATGGAACTTACGTTTGTGTGATAAAGTTTGAACTTTATGTATTAAGGTTTTTTGGAAGTGAACCTTACAAATAATGGGTTGTTAAGAACCATTACCATTCAAAATAGTTGTTTTCTCCATACATTTTCCGGAGAGAGGACTATATTAGAACCTTTTTACCACAGACAAACAGACGTAACTCTTTGACAAAGTTTTTCTTGAAAACATATTATCTCAAAACACAGGACCTCAGTAACGACATCTCTCGGGCT